AGCTGATTATTTAAGGGAGCACAGTTTTCACAGGTGATACTGTTTATTTTAAAAAGTGAACCTATTAATTGGATGAAAGATGACCATTGGAAGTGGCTTTAGTTCCATGTTCAAAGGGTATCTCAGGGCAATAGTCTCAAGGGTTCCTCTAGTCTTTATCGATCCAGTAAGTCTAGACTTTTAGGTATTTGAGTTTTGTTCTACATTTTTCTTCTTTTCTATCCGTGACCTACTATTGTGTCCCTGTTCAGAACCGTTGGTAATAGTAGCCAGGCACCATCTAGTTCTTCTGGTCTCAGGCTAAATGAGGCTGTGGTTCATGTGAGCTGTTAGTCTTGTGGACTAGTTTCTTCTTTGAGTCTTTGGTTTCCTTCATTCCCTTTTGTTCTTTCCTTCATTCTCTTTTGTTCTTTCCTTCATTCTCTTTTGTTCCAGATGAATAGAGACAAATAGTGGCCGCTTGCAAGCTATTAAGACCCCAGATGGTATTCACCAAACTAGGATGTAGAACATTATCTTTGTGAACTATGTTATGTCAATTGACCAAGTTGTCCCGTGAGACTATGGTCCCAAGCCTTCAAACCCAGAAAACCCATCTCACCAAGTGTTTGGGTATGTCTAGGAAGTATCCGTAACTGTGCCCCCATGTGGTTTATTATGTATGTGAATATATCCGCAGTGCACATAAACGTGTATAAACATACCCCAGCACCATTTATTCAAGAGAACTCTTCTTTCCCCATTGAATAAACTTAGAACCCCTGTCAAAACTGAGTTGACCATAGATATGTAGGTTTATTTCTGGACTGTCAATTCTATTCCATTGATCTGTGTGTCTATTGTTATTGCAGTACCAGGCTGTTTTGATTACTGTAACTGTATAGTATGTTTTAAAATCAGGAAGTATGAGTCCTCCTACTTTGTTCTTCTCTATCAACATTTCTTTAGCTATTTGGGCCTCTAACCATTCCATATAAAGCTTAGGATTTGTTTTTCTGTTTCTGTAAAGAAGGCTGATGAGATTTTGATTGGGTTTGCATTGAATCTATAGATTGCTTTGGCTAGTATTGGCATTTTTATAATATTAACCCTTCCAACCCCCATGTGTCTGTCAGCTTGCCGTACTGTACGGGCTTGCATGTTGCTGTGATGCTGGAAGCTATGCCACCAGTACTCAAATACCAGCAAAGTCACCCATGGTGGACAGGTTTCAGCTGAGCTCCCAGACTCAGACAGACTAGGAAGAAGGACCTGGCATTCTACTTCTGAAAAAGATTAGCCAGTGAAAACTTTATGAATAGAAGTGGGAACAATGTCTGATATAGTGCCAGGAGAATAGCCCCTCAGGTTGGAAGTCACTCAAAAGATGACTGGGGAAGAACTGCCTCCTCAAAGTAGAATTGACCTTAATGACATGAATGGAGTCAAGCTTTCAGGACCTTCATTTGCTGATGTGGCAGGACTCAAAATGAGAAGAAACAGCTGCAAACATCCATTAGTAATTGGAACATGGAATGTATCAAGTATGAATCTAGGAAAATTGGAAATCATCAAAAATGAAGTGGAAAACATAAACATTGATATCCTAGTGAGCTGAAATGGACTGGTATTGGCCATTTGAATCCAACAATCATATGGTGTACTATGCCGGGAATGACAAATTGAAGAGGAATGGCGTTGCATTCGTCATCAAAAAGAACATTTCAAGATCTATCCTGAATTACAGCACTGTCAGTGATAAGATAATATCCACACACCTACCAGGAAGACCAGTTAATATGAGTATTATTCAAATTTACGCACCAACCACTAATGCCAAAGATTAAAAAGCTGAAGAAGAATCGGTAGTTGGAAAATATGGCCTTGGTGATGGAAATGATGCCAGAGATCACATGATAGAATTTTGCAAGACCAACAGCTTCTTCATTGCAAATATGTTTTTTCAACACCATGAATGGTGACTATACACGTGGACCTCACCAGATGGGGTACACAGGAATCGAATGGACTACATCTGTGGAAAGAGACTATGGAAAAGCTCAATATCATTAGTCAGAAGAGGGCCGGAGGCTGATTGTGGAACAGACCCTCAGATGCTCATATGCAAGTTCAAGTTGAAGCTAAAGAAAATTAGAACAAGTCCATGAGAGCCAAAGTACGACCTTGAGTATATCCCACCTGAATTTAGATACTATCTCGAGTAGATTTGATGCATTGAACACTAATGACTGAAGACCACACAAGTTGTGGAATGACATCAAGGACGTCATACATGAAGAAAGCAAGAGGTCATTCAAAAGACAGGAAAGAAGAAAAAGACCAAAATGGATGTCAGAAAAGACTTGAAACTTGCTCTTGAATGTCGAGTAGCTAAAGCGAATGGAAGAAATGATGACGTAAAAAGAGCTGAACAGAAGATTTCAAAGGACAGCTTGAGAAGACAAAGTAAAGTTTTGTAATGACGTGTGCAAAGACCTGGAGATAGAAAATCAAAAGGGAGGAACACGCTCAGCATTTCTCAAGCTGAAAGAACTGAAGAAAAAATTCAAGCCTTGAGTTGCAATATTGAAGGATTCTATGGGCAAAATATTGAAGGACACAGAAAGCATCAAAAGAAGATGGAAACAATACACAGAGCCACTGTACCAAAAAGAATTGGTCAACACTCCGTCATTTCAGGTAGCATATGATCAAGAACTGATGGTACAGAAGGAAGAAGTCCAATCTGCACTGAAGACATTGGTGAAAAACAAGGCTCCAGGAATGGATGGAATACTAATTGAGATGTTTCAACAAATGAATGCAGTGTTGGAAGTGCTCACTCATCTATGCAAAGAAATTTGGAAGACAGCTACCGGGAAAACCGACTACAAAAGAACCATATTTATGCCTATTCCAAAGGTGATCCAACCAAATGCAGAAATTATTGAACAATATCATTAATATCACACGCAAGTAAAATTTTGCTGAAGATCATTCAAAAACAGTTGCAGTAGTACGGCAGGTAACTGCCAGAAATTCAAATCAGATTCAGAAGAGGAGGTGGAACGAGGGGTATCATTGCTGATGCCAGATGGATCCTGGCTGATAGCAGAGAATACCAGAAAGATGTTTACCTGTGTTTTATTGACTATGCAATGGCATTCAACTGTGTGGATCATAACAGATTATGGATAACACTGTAAAGAATGGGAATTCCGGAACACTTAATTGTGCTTATGAGGAACCTGTACATAGATCAAGAGCTTTCCAACAGAACAAGGGGATACTGCATGGTTTAAAGTCAGGAAAATTGTACATCAGGGTTGTATCCTTTCACCATACTTTTTCAATGTGTATGCTGTGCAAATAATTTGAGAAGCTGGACTATATGAAGAATGGGGCATCAGGATTGGAGGAAGACTCATTAACAACCTGCGTTATGCAGATGACACAACCTTGCTTGCTGAAAGTGAAGATGACTTGAAGCACTTACTGATGATCAAGGCTATAGCTTTCAGTATGGATTACACCTCAGCATAAAACAAAAATCCTCACAACTGGACCAATAAGCAATATCATGATAAATGGAGAAAAGATTGAAGTTGTCAAGGATTTCATTTCACTTGGGTCCACAGTCAACACCCATGGAAGCAGCAGTCAATAGGCACATGAAAAAATGCTGAACATCGTTAGTCATTAGGGAAATGCAAGCCAGTTTATGCCCAATAGGATGGTTACAATAAAAAAGATGGACAATAATAAGTGTTAGTGATGATGTGGAAAAATTGGAATTTCATACATTGTTGGTGGGAATGGAAAATGGTACAGCTGCTTTGCAAAACAGCTTGGCAGTTTTCAAAAAGTTAAACATAGAGTTACCACATGACTCTGCAATTCCCTTCCTAGGTATATACCCAAGAGAATTAGAAACATATGCCCACATAAAAACCTGTACACAAATGTTTACAGCAGCATTGTTAACAACAGCTCAAAAGTAGAAACGACCCAAATGTCCACCAGTTGGTGAATGGATAAAGAAAGTGTGCTGTATCCATACAATGGAATTTTATTGAGCCAATAAAATGGAATGAAGTACTGATATATGCTACATCATGGATGAACCTTAAAAACATTATTGTAAGTGAAAGAAGCCAAACATGAAAGGCCACACATTGTTTGATTCCATTTATATGAAATTTCCAGAATAAGCAGATCCATAGAGACAGAAAGTAGATTAGTTGTTGCCAAGAGCTAGGATGGGGGGAGGAGGGGTGGAAGGGTTGGCTAAAAACCACTGAATTGTATACTTTAAAAGGGCGAATTTTCTGGCATGTGAATTATATCTCAGTAAGGGTATTATTAAAATATATACATATATACAGAGTGCCATTTAAATGGATTATCTGGTACTGAAAAATCAAATAGCTCCAAATATTTTTTGCTTAGCTGGCTATGCTATAGTATTTGAAGTTGTTTTTTAATGAACTGTCAGAAGAGTGAAATTCCATTTGTAGAGTTGTTATGCTAACTAGAGAAGCGTGACTGTGTTTCAGTTACACGAAGGTTAATCGGAGCTACATATAAGAAAAACATTTCTTAGAATAGCCAAATTAAGCTTATTGCAATGACTTTGAAGAAAGTTTTTTTTTTTTAATCAAAAGTCATGAGTTATACTACTTTTAAGCATTTTTTGGATAATAAAAATCCCCCCCCCTTTTTTTAAAGCTTCACCTTCAGTTATTCTTTTGGTGAGCTGTAAGATACTGCTTTTCTCCATACTCTATGGATTTAACTAGTTGGGTTCAAAATGAACTAAGCTTGTTTTAAAATTGTACTCTTTTTACAACTGAATTTTGAAATAAAGTGAATTCTGACCTTACTAGCTGTAAATCTTACTGAATGATTTTCATGGTTTAATCAATTCAGTTTGTTTTGCTGTTAGCAAAATCCTATTTTTTGTCTTTTATAGTTTTTCTTCTTTCATCAGTTTAGTCCGTTTTAACCCATTGTTTTCTTAGCTTGCAGAACACAGAGAAGTACGGCATACCTACAGTCTAGAGTCTCTTTGCCACTGCCCTTTTTACGAAGAAGCCATGCATTTAGTTGACGAAGGAAAAATTTACTCAAGAGTACTTAGGTACCATTTTTGTTTTGCTTGTTTTTATGAAAAATATTAAGGTGCTGTTGCTATGTTTGTGTGATGTTTATTAAAATGTTCATGAGAATAGAGAGAAATATATTTTCAGGTCCAAGGTTTTTTTTTTTTTACACATTTTGACTTTGTCAGTGTGGAGCAGACATGTGTTTTATATTAAGGTCCCGAGGTTAAGCCTTGTTTGAGTCCAAATATGTAGTAGGCTTGATCTTGAATCCAGCTTAACAATTTTCTCCCCTGTTTATTACATAGAACTGAAATGTTGGAGTGCCTCGGAGACAGTGATTTTCTTGCCAAACTTCACTGTATTCGACAGGCTTTTCAGGTATTTTTTTTTTTTTAACACCAAATGACTTCAGCCACTCATCCATTCCCACCCTCACACTGTAGAGTCCACCTGCATAGAAACAGGGTAGCTCCTTGCTTTTTGTTATCCCTGTTTGTACTGGCTAACACAGAATCTATTAAGTTTATTTTTCCTCCCTGCTACTTCCCTTCATTTGTCCCCATTTGTCACTGTGCTCTCCCATGGCTTTCCAGGTCCACCACACTTTGTCAGAATGGGACATTATGATGCTGTAGGTGTGTACAAATGACTGCTTAAAGTAAAAACCCTCTTTCCTATTGTCAATTAGTATGTGTTCTAGATTGTTTTTTATTTCAATCAGTGAAATCTTTGATTTCTTAAACTGATACAAGGTCTTTTAACAACAAAAATGTCTGTTTTTCTATGTTTGGGGGTATATAAATTTGATTTTAGACTTTCTCATCTTACGTTGAACAGAATTAAATGCAGATTTACCTCCTTTTAATCTTTTTGATTAAAGATTTCAAGAGCTCTTTTTATTTTAGTAAATTACGATTTTCTCTATGGTTGGCCTGCTGAAATAGTACCACACACACTGCATTAACTGTATTAGGATTATTTATGCATAGATGTGTTATAAAGTCTGATGTGCATTCAAATTAATTATAGGTCTCTTTTTCTGTTGACTGGGGCTATTTTTTGCAGGTAATTCTTTCAGAAACAGCCAACAGGATGTTCCTTGCTGAGAGTGGAAGGAAAATTTTATCAGCTTTAATTGTGAAAGCACGAAAGGTAAATTTGTTTTGTTGTCAAGTTTTTTACTGCCATTGTTTCTATTCAACTGAAGATTAAAATATTTTTAAATTTTTAATAGAACAAAAAGTTTTGTAGATGGTTGCAAAGGTGCACAGATTAAAAATAAGGAACCCAAACAGCATTGACTTCTACTTGTGTTGAGTTATTTTCTTTGTATAAAGTCCAGACAGTTTTGACCAAGTTGTATCTCATAAGTCATTGCAAATGTGCCATAAAGTCTGTGACAGTCCTGGTGAGAATCATCATTAAATCTGCTACTACAACTGTTACTGTCATTATTGCTAACACATTCTGTCTTACCTCTCTCAATCCTGTTCATTAAGAGAGTTCCAGGAATTAGTGTAGATCTCAGAAATCAAGAAATACAAAGTCAGCTGCCTTTTACTCATCCTCATGAGATTAAATAAGGCAGAAGAAATAATAAGAACTTCTTTAAGATTGTAAGCACCCATTTTCTTTTATGCAAGGTGTATCTGGATGATGAGGAAAAAAAAAAAAAATCAGGCCTTCTTTGAAACTATTTACACACTCCTGGTTTTCAGACCCAATTCCTCTGAATCTTAATTTGTTCATTTGTATAATAGAGTTATATTTATGCTACCCTATCTTAATTTGGTCATTTGTATAATAGAGTTATATTTATGCTACCCTATCTCAGAGGATGGTTATGATGATTAAATAAATAACAAATGTGAAAGCAAATTAGAAAATAAAGTGCTAAATAAATGACGGTGATACTAGCTACTCGCAATTTCGGCGTAAATCTTATGTTGCTTTCTTGGCCTCTTATGGCAGGTAAGACTGGTGATGTGAACTATAGTTCCTCAAAAGGAACAGAACTGAATCTAAAGCATCACATATTATCTGTTGTAACCAGTTTTCATCTTAAGGATCAGTTTAAATAACCAGAAAAACTAAACCCACTTCCGTCAAGTTGATTCCGACTCACAGTGACTCCGTGGGGTTTCCAAGGCTATAAATCTCTCTGGAAGCAGACTGTCACATCTTTCTCCTGCAGAGCTGCTGGTGGTTTCGAACTGTGATTGCTTTAACCATTGTGTCACTAGGGCTCATAGACATTTGAGTAGTAAGTAGTGTGCTTATGACATTTTGCTAACATTGTTAGTTTTTGCTTCTGTAAAATATTGGGACAACAAAATATTAATCCAAATGAATCTGGCATACCTTGAGATGTATTTTAATTCAGTTACCTAATAGAATTAAGATCCAAGAAACTTACCTGGAGAGTAACTTACTTACTTTATAGGCCTAAACCTTGTTATAAATTGAGTTTAAAATTAAAATATATTTTCTTCTGCAGAATCCAAAGAAGTTTGAAGACGTTTTTGATGAAATGATCTATTTTTTAGAGCAGACTGATCACTGGGATAGTACTGAAATGGAACTAGCTGCTACAGGGGTAAGTTCAAAATTGTTATAATATTTATTCTCCTTAATTATTTGCATATAACATTTACATGAGTCGAGGGCACTTTTACCTTGTCCTTATTAAATGACAGTAAAACCAATAATGTGGTGTTAGGGTAACATATATCTTCTGGCAGACTCGCAAACAATAGCAACTGCAGTCTATACGTTGGGACTCCAGTTGAAAAGAATTTTTTTAAAAAAAAAAAAAAAAAAAAAAGCCTTCCTTTTCTTCCTACTTCCTTCTGTTCAAAAATCATTGATCAGGCCCCAGCAGAGTGGTTTCGGTGACCTGTGCAAGTTATTGAATAGGAATAGCATAGGAAGATCAACAGACATTAAAGAAACATGTATTGAAGATTTAATATGTGCTAAGGACCTTGTTGGAGCCCTGGTGGCACAGTGGTTAAGAGCTTGGCTGCTAACCAAAAGGTCAGCAGTTCGAATCCACCAGCCACTCCCTGGAAACCTTATGAGGCATTTCTACGCTGTGCTATAGAGTCGCTATGAGTTGGAATCAACCCAACAGCAACAGGTTTGGGTTTTTTTGGTTTTAAGCACCTTGTTAAGTTCCTCTGTATGTTCCTTAAGCATCTCATAAGCTAGCGGGGAATCAGTTTCCTCAATGGATAGATACATTACATTGTAATAATGCAGGTAATATAGGTTTATGCATGAAATACAAAGGTACCACAATGAAGGGAGCTGTTAAGTCTGCTAGGAAGTCTTGTAAGGCTTCATAGAAGACGTAATGATTGAACTGGCTTCTGAAAGTAGAGTAATAGTTGGCAATGTAGGCATTTACAAGGGGCTGGAAGGCGTTCTAGGCAGAGAAAACAGTAGGTTCAAAGACATGGAGGCATGATCTTCCCTTATCCAGTGTTCCTTCACTTGGGAAACAGAATCACTTCCGTCCAGTTGTGCAGGCCAGAAACCTGGAGGTCATCCTTTACACCTTCCTGGACTTCATCCGCCTTATCACATTCACCTCTAAGTTTTGTCAGTTTTAACTCCTAAATATCTTTCAATGTTTCCCTACTCCTGCTATCCCCATCGTGGTCTAAGCAGCTATAGTCTTTTCCCTGGACTATCTCAGTAGTCTTTGTATTCTTGGCCTACTACCCCACTTCCTGGATTCGCTCCTTCCCTCTTCTTTCCGTGCTCCACATTGCGGCCAGAATGATCTTTGAAAGATACAAATCTGATCATCTCTCTCTCCCCACCTCCGAACCCCAGCCCCAAAATACTGTGAGGATAAAAACCAAAATCCTTAACATGGGCCATAAAACCCTGCAGGATCTGGCCTTCCTCCTTGTCTCTAGCAACAGAGAGTTGCAGCACACTCAGTTTCTTTCAGCTGAATGCCCTGTGTTCCTCCTTACTTTAAAGTCTTTGACAGATATTTCCTCTATGTAGGATGCCTCACTCCCTCAAGGAAGCCCTGTCTGACATCCAGTCTAGATCAGAATCTTCATCATAAGCTCTCATAGCACCACATACATTTTCCTTTATTGTGCTTATCACAGTTTGTAATTGCCGATTTGCAGGATTATTTTGTCACTGTCGGTTTTCCTTATTAGACTATAAGCTCTACTTTGCTTATTGTAGAAGACTGAGCACCTAGTACAGCACAGGAGAGAACAAGAGATTCATAATCTGGTGCGTTAGGTAGATAGATACACTCATAACTAAATAACAAAGCAGAATGAGCATCTTGGATGCTTTAACAGAAACATGAACAAAGGACCCCTAGAACAGAAAGGAGCCAGAGATTAATCTCACCTCAAGGGATTTAGGAAGGCATGGCCATTGTGTGAATTGTAGTTTCTCTGATGAGTTGTTTTGGTATTTGTCTCTCCTCCTCCTTTTTTTTGTCGTAATATAATCTCTTGATTCCACTAAAAAAAACCCTGCTGTTATGAAGGATAAAGCCCCGACTCAAGCTTTATTTCAGCTCTATATAAAAATAATTTATTTTAACTCATAATTTATTGCAGGTGAAAAATCTAAATTTTTATGATGTTGTTCTGGATTTTATATTAATGGATTCCTTTGAAGATCTAGAAAACCCACCCACATCCATACAGAATGTAGTAAATAATCGCTGGCTAAACTCCTCCTTCAAAGAAACCGTAAGTGGTGGTTTACTTTCTCAACCATTTAAGCTTGACGAAAAGTGGTCAGAACTGGGAAGATTAATAAGTTTACGTATACATCTGCCTGTAGAACGACTAGTGTAGAACTAGTGCTCATCCTTTGATGTTGGGATTGGATGTATGTGTATAGTATGTGGTATAATTCCTTCACATGAACTTCTCTTTTTTTTTTTTCCATTTCGAGTTAGTCTCCCATACAGAAATTTTTTTTTTTTACGTACATTGTTATGAGACCCCAACTGCTCACCCCATTCTGCGACAGCTCACTCCTCCCCTCCGCCCCTGATTCCCCACGAACATTTAACCAGCTCCTAACTCTCTCTGCCTTCCCATTGCACCTCTGGACAGAAGCTTCCCCCTTGGTCTCTTGTATCTACTTGACTAAGAGGCCATTCTTCACAAGTATCACTTTATGTCCCACAGTCCAGTCCAATCCCTGTCAGAAGAGTTAGCCTTGGAAACTGTTTTAGTTCTGGGCTGATAGAGAGTCCAGGGGCCATGCTTTCCGGGACACCTGCAGTCTCAGTCAGACCGTTAAGTCTGGTCTTCTTACTAGAATTTGAGTTCTCCATCCCATCGTTCTGCTGCTCCATCAGGGACCCTCTGTTGTGTTCCCTATCAGGGTGGACTTCTCTTTTGCCCTTTCACCAGTCCCAGCCTTAACCTGGAGGACTCAGTATTTCTTCAGGTCTCAAAAGAAACTCAAGCTTCAGACTAGCTCAGGCCTAACAAAAAATTGTTGGTAAGGCTGAATGATTAAATGGAAATACAAAAGTGATAGTAAAAAATGAGAATATACTTATTGTAAGAGGAAAATTTGGAGATGCATGCCCCAGAATACTATTAAAAATTAGAGAAGGAAAAAATAGACGTATGCAAAAATAAAACAGGTTTAAACTGTATTCTGTACTTTGAATGTTTTCAGTTTCTTTTCCTTACTCAAATCTCTTTTGACATTGGTTTTTTTTTTTTTTTTTTTTTGAGCATTAAGCATCAACCTGGAAGTAGGTGGGATGAATATCATGTTTCAAGTTTGAGTGCTTTTAAAAAAATGTTCCAATAGACTATTTCACAATTATTTTGGAACTTCTTCGCTATTAAATTTTAAAGTGTTGCTAATAAATTCATGTTTTCCTTAATTATAAGGATTTTTTAATCATAAAAGATACATGTTTTCCATTTCTGTAACTGACTTGGCAGAGGGACCTTGGTCGAAGGGGGTCATGCCAGAGTAGGGAGAGATTTCTTCAGGAGCCACTGTGTGCTTTTGTCTCTGTCATTATGGTTGTATTTTTTGTTCTTTATTTGAATAAAACTGTTTAGTTCTTCCCCAAACTCTTTCCCATGGTACTATTTTCGAAGAAAAAATATTACTTGCTTTGTCTTCATTGTTACAATTAAAATATTTATTTGGATATGTACCTCTGTGTACACATATTTTCACTTTTTACCTTAGGAGCAGAGTTGTAATTACCAAGCTTCTTGGTACCAGGGTTTAACCTTTTTTCTTTAGTTGCTTTGTATTTAATTTTAAAATTTATAAAAATGAAACTCCGTTTCATTAACATTTACAAACAATATAAGGAATCTGGACTAGTTCTTATTAATAGTTAATGTTTCGATCTTTTTAAGCCTATACACTTTGAATTTCTAATAAAAATCACTCTTTTCTAAAAGTAAAAGTTTATATAATTATAAATATAAATCTCTTTTCTCTTCTGCGTATGTAGGCTGTGGCTTCAAGTTGTTGGTCAGTACTGAAACAGAAAAGGCAACAGATGAAGGTAAAATTCATTATGCCCTAGACTGTATTGTTAAGTAATTTGAAAATCTTGTCAAAGAAATGAGTCAGTTCACATGTGGGGATGGCAGCTGATAAAAGGACTGTCACTCAAGCTAGATGAATTACTTATTGGTGCTGGGTTGGCTTCTCCATTTCTGACTCCCTTCTCTGTCTTCCTTACCTGTCTGTACAGTTCAGTACAGCAAGTATTGAGGCATCCATGAGATTTCCACTAAGTGGGAGAGGAAGCTTTAGGGTTGGAAGCAATTCTAATAGATTTTTTTTTTTCAGTTACTAAGATTTTAAAAAATGGTTTAATATAGTGGAATCGAATTGAGAAATAATGATTTGATTCTAATTGCTGCATTATTCAATTTAGAGCCCACACCAAAAAAAAAAATCTCAAAGTTCACTCCTGTCTCCAAGCTCCACGCCTCTAGCCCCTCTCACCCACTAACACTGCTCTCGCCGTATTACTTCATGGACTCTGGAGTGAGCCTGCCTGCATTCAAATCCCTTCTCTGCCACTTATTAGCCATGTGACTTATTAGCCATTGGGGAAGATGCTTAACCCCTCTATTCCTCATTTCCCTCATCTCTGTAAAGAGAATAGTAATAGTACCTACCTCACAGGGTTTTTTGAGGATTAAATGATTAATACTTGTAAAGTGCTTTGATTTGATACATGTAAAGTTTTAAAAAAGTGTTTGGCATAGTACACTATGCAAGTGTTGGCTATTATTATAATTATTATTTTCTCAGTGGCCTATAGTACTTTCTGTTGGTTATTATCATATTCATATTTCTAAATCTGACACTTAAAACTTTGAGACAAGCACAGTGTTTCCAAAGTATAGTCCTTACAGAGTCTTGAGCAGGTGCTTGTTAAAAATAATTCCAGAGACCCTATGCCTTAATAATTCTTGTTATAAATTATTTCAGAGAGCCTGTATTTTAAACTAGCTCCCTAAATGATTATTATACATTCTAATGTTTGAGAACCATTGGTGTAGGTTTTAGGGAACAAACTTTAGAGACTTGTAGACTTCATTTTGATTCTCACCCTAACTAGCATGATTGTGGACAAGTTACTGAGCATCATCTGACCTTTAGCTTTCCCATTTGCCAAATGGAGTTAATTCCTACGTCACAGGTCTGCTGTAAGGATGAAATGAGATATCGTAGTCAAGTCTAATAAGTGGTAGTTGCTATAATGGTAATAATAAAAACATTATTATTACTATATCTCACTTTATTTCCTACTTCTTAACATAAATCTTGTACCTCAGGTTAGTCTTTCTGTATCCACAGATATCATATATGTCTTACATCTTTGGGAGTTTTTTCCCATGCCTGGAATGCCATAGTCCATCCTTTGTACTTAAATACATCTTACTCACTGTTGAGCTCAGCTCAGATTATTCCTTGGTAAAGATTGTCTCTTCTGTTTTAGCTCACACTAATTTCTCTTCTCTCTGAACTCCTAATATACTTAGAGTCTATAAGGAATTTAGAATTTTAATATATGCAGAACATCTCTCAAACTAGAATAACCTCAGTGCATCCCTGATAACTTTTTGGCCTTCACTAACTAGCTATGTGTGATTTAGGGTAGGTTACTTAGCCCCTCTGAAGTCTTACTTTTTACATATATAAAATGAAGTTAATATGGCCTACTTTTACAGGAATGTTTTATTAAATTAAATGAAGACCGAGCACATTGTCTGGAATATAATGGGTACTCGTTAAATGGTAACTGCTGCTATAATATGTTTGTTAAATTATGGTGGGAAGATTGTTTTTTGTTTTTGTTTTTGTTTTATTTTATTTTTTTATTGTACTTCAGGTGAAGGCTTACAGAAAAAATAGTTTCTCATGAAACAGTAGT